GCCAGCATGCAAATCCCTTGGTTTCCTGGTCGAGCCTCACCACGGGTTTCTGATAACCCTCACGCTGCAGAGCGTACGTAAGCCACGAGTGAGCCCAACTCTTTCCTATGAAATCCTGTTCCAACCTCTCCTCCTCCCTATGTCAAGCCCTCACACAAGCAGAAAAGGCAGTCCCTGCCCAAGTAGCTCACGGTTTGAGTCCCTCCACTGAGGACCCCAGTGCTGCAGAGGAAGAGCTAGAGAGAACTCTAGATTTCCATGTCGGGAGCTGCCTCGTGCCCAGACAAGGTGTGGAGCCAGCGAGACTGATGTAGTGTTGAGGTTCGTGTCCGTATCCTTCACAGAGCAAAGAAATTAAATGGTGGTCAGGTCCTTTCAGAGCACTTCAGGAGGTACCTACTCCTCATATGATTGTCTCAGAGGTTTTGCAGTAAGTCACACAGCACTATTGATCGTCAAACTACTTAACCATGGAAAATTGCTTTAATGCTACCTCGGTGCATTAATGAATGATCCATTAATTAATTCAAATTATTGAACATTGGCCTTGCTTTCCCGCTAGGCAAGAAGGACTTTGTGCCAAATCCAAAGAGGAGAGTGGCGTTTAAGCCATCTCTGAAATGATGATGGGCATGAAGACCCCAGGTACCTGTGGGCCAGCAGCAGGTGGCACTTCTTTGCTGCAGCGTTGCTGAGCAAAGGAGAAAGCACGAGGCTGCTCCAAGCTGGAAAGATCTTTGTGGTAAGAGGGAGTGGGTCCCTTTAGAGATCCAAACCCTCATTGCATCTCACCCAGAGGAAACCTTCGACCTTGAAGATCCTTTGCACTGACGCTTGGCAGTCCCAGGAGCAAAAGCAGATTTGCAGCCACTGACTGGTTGTGCTGGTCCCACAGGTGCTGGCACCTTGGGCACAGACAGAGGAAAACAAGTTTCTGACACATAACCACTGTGCTTTTTAATTTTCCAGGGTAGTCAGTAAAGTCTGGAGAGCTTTTACATCCTTTCTCTCTGAAAACGTACTAGATTATTGATTCTGTGCTAAAACAAACAATCTATTTGGATTGTTTATGAAGAGGCTACTGATGTAGTGAATTGCCTGATACAGGAATAAATTCACTATGGTGTCAACCCCTTAACTGGCCAGTGATACCCACCAAGTACTGGTCAGAAGCTAGAGGCGTTTTGAACATAGCAGGAATCCAACCACAAACAATAGCTGAGGGGTGACAGGTTACGCACAGGAAAGAGTTGAGATGGGACGTTTCATATCCCGTATCGAAGACAACGTCCAACGTTTGGAAGCTGAAGCTGCATGCATTCAGCCTTAAAATAAGAGCAGTTTTTCAGCTGGGCGGGAGACTAAGCACTGAAAGAACAGGAAAGTCTTTAAAATGAGACCTTTCTGAATGGCAGGATTTCATCCGCACCCAGAGAAAAAGTCCTTTGCGAGTGCAGGATCACATCAGCCTTGCTGCATCCCAAAAGAGCTGCACATAGCAGATGGATGAAGAGAAATCAAGTGCTACCACAAACCCCTTGAGCAGGTCAAAAGGAGGTAAAATGAGTAAGGAAGGGACTGAGATCTACCGAGCCCAGACTTTCTCATCTCCCACATTTCCTCTGAGGTACTGGGATGCTCACGACGCAGAACCTCCCGGAGGAGCTCGATCTCACCATACTGGCAGAAGAACACACAGTGCACCCAGCTCTGCCCCACAGCAGCCTGGCTCCCTGGGGAAGCCGAGTCTCTGGAAATCACTGAAACCTAAAAAAAAAATAGTGGACGATAACCTTAATCCACAGCCAGGAGCAACTGCAGCACTGGTTTTAAGGGAAGCAGAATTAGATCAACTCCACCTACTAGGGAAAATCTTCCCCATTAATTGTTATCATAATGCAAATCTCTACGGCACCAGCCACCAGCACATTGTTAACCATTTCCATATAGGAGTTCATTAACATGGCAAAAATCCTGCAAGGGAGGATGTGTTCTTTCCTCCTGGTACAGAGCGATAAAGGAGGAGGTGAGAGTTGATAGCACTCACCCTTGGTCTCCCCGAGCATGAGCATCGCGGCACCCCAGCACACGGCCAGCACCACACCCTGCCCTGGAGAGGAGCCAGCCCCTCACCTTGTCCTCAGGGCCGGGCTACAGGGTGTGTTATTAAAAAGGGAAGAATAGCTCCTACCTAAGAACAACTCCCATCCCTTTTTTTGAAATGACTGGGGGATCAGGTATGATGCTGCAGCAATATAGATGGGAGGGGAAATTCAAAAACCCACCACAGCCCTAAGGTGGTGAGGATCAGCCAATTATACATTCAGGAAGCTGTGTTAATTAGAAGCTTTTCAAGAGAAAAGTCAAAGGACTTTGCAAACACAGAGGGAAACCGATTTTAACAAGCAGCGATAAGTCCCAGCGTTGGAGAGGCACCGGCAGTGCAATGTCCTCTGCTGGCATCTCCAGTCACTACAGGGGACGGCTCCAGCCCGGCCTGCGTGACACCAGCACCGGCAGTCACCTGCAAGTGCGAGCCAGCGATTAGTCCCATTGATTTTTCGGGGGAATATTATGATTTTAAAATGAATAGTCAAGTAGCCGGGGCTGGTAAAGGATTATTCCCTACATAACAGTCATAGCACTTTGTGAGAGCCCAAAAGCACCCGGCTCATCTGACAGCTCAGAAGCAGCCCATCATCAGTGGCTCAGGGTGGAGGAATTGGTTTTTCCTTTTTCTTAATGATGATGATATGTAATGCGACAGCTTTATGTGCTAATCAACAGAGACCAGGGCTGTTTAAGAAGATTTGATAATAGCTCACACCTGAAGCAGCTTTTTTTTTTTTTCCCCAGGCAGAGGGAAGTGCACAGCAGAGTAGAACAAGTCACAATTAATTTACTTGGGTTTTATGTATGGTTATGGTCATCTCCTCTCCTTCTTAAGCCAGGGAAGCTCAAAACATGGATGTGGATTTGTTTACAAGCAGTGAAATGGGTTTAAGTGTTCCACACACCTTCTTAAAAAGGGCACATGAAAGCCATTTAGGAATTAAAAAAAATATATAAATAAATCTAAGAGCCTGACCAGAGCTGTTTTAGTTTATCCCCAAATGAACACTAACTTTGAGGTAATTCTTGAGGTTTATTGCACTAACCAGGAAAACCAGGTCATGTAAAATGAAAGAGCCTGTATTACCTGTGCAGGCAAAAGTGCCTTCTCAGCAGAGACTTGTTCACTCTGTGCTTGTCCTAGACCATTATTTTCACTTCCCTGAGATGCGCTTCATGAGGAATACTGCAGGGAGCAGACATCACTTTTGGTAAACTGCACTGCACGGGGCTGTGAGTTGGAACAACTGCAAACTGCACCACTGCAAACCTCGAGCTGTGACAGATGCAACATCCCCCTCACACACACTCCTTATCCTAAACAGGTGCGCAACGGGGAGAAAAACTCTCCTAAAGAGCATTAAAGGGAAAAAGCTGCCCAATGACCACAGGCACAGGAGGTGGAGTCCCAGAGCCCAACAACTGCTGACCGTCTGCCAACGCCCCAGCCCGTCCTCACCATCAGCTTGTTCGTGTAGTGACACACCAGCAATGAGTGCATGTCATTTTTGAAACAGTAAACCTCAGAGACCTGAGCAGGAGCTTCCAGGCCCGCCCTGGAGCACAAGTGCAACTGCTCCTACTAATAAACCTTCCAAAAGCCAACCATGGTGTGTCACTGCACAAAGGCTGAGTGTGGTTACAGCATCTGCAATCTCCTAAGGCAGCCGGGGTAAGATGGGTAGGTTTTGGCACCCCACGTCCCTTGGCACCCCATGCAGCGCATCCAGCTCCACCAGCCCGTCTTACGTGTCTTGAGGGGTTCCGAATGACGCTCAGACCATCAGCGCCCACAAACACCAACTGGGGCCTATCTTGAAGTTTAATCACTTCATGAAAATGAAACTTTCAGTACTTCATTAGGATGTCTGCCATCTGTTAAACATCATCCCAGAGAGTTTGGTGACACTTTAAATGAAGCTGTGAAGAGATGCGTTTGTTTTAGATGTAATTGGACAGCTGTTTTATTATGAATTAATGAACTATGATGATTAAAAAGAATCCAGTTTTAGCAAATCTTGTATTAACAATTACTCCTGACTAAAATCACGACTAAGCAAGTGCTAGAGAACTTTCATGACAACGACTGGAAGCAGAAGATGAAAAACCAGTGAGGTGCAACGGGACAAGAGGTGACTCCAGGCCAGGCTCCCCGTGCTGGGCACGGGTTCCCCGGGCTGCCCTGCAGCAACCAAACCACTCCATGTGCCCGTGATACCATTCCACATACTGCCATCTCCTCTGGCCCAAAGCCCCTTTTGCCCCATATGAGTCATCAGGGTCTGCTCACACCCCTCCGTCTTCTCAGCCCTTCTTCATGCTCATGTCCCCCCTTTCCCCCAGCCACGGGACCCCATGAGGGGCTGGGGAAGGAGAGGGGACAGTGATGGCAGCAGGCTCAGAGGTAGAGATAATTGACCTCTCTGGGCTTGCAAAATGTATTTCAGACTCCTTTTCCCCCCACCGTAGGTCACTTTGGCCAAGGCAGTTGGCCCTGGAGGCATTGCAGAGAACGGGATGCTCTCTGGTGTAGGGCTACATCCTTCCTGGCTGCGAGGACACAGCCCCGGGGCCACGCTGAGCATCAGCAGCACCATGAAAAGCCGATCCTGAGCTGGGGAGTCCCGCATCCGTCCTTCCCACGCTTTCCCATTTAGAAGAGATTTCCGTATTTCAGCAGAACCCAGTGCCAAACACCAGAGGCCACAGAAGGCAGCTGTGGGAGTTTCCACAGGAGCTTCCCAGTTTGTACGGAGCAGTTTTTAAGCAGTGAAATCTTTGCCCTGAGAGGTTCAGTGAAAAAGCTCCAAAGAGTTAAATGAAGACAGGTACACATGCCATGTGTGCAAATCACTTCTCTCCTGCTGTCAAAAGAAATCCGTTCCCAATCATTGTGGCTTCCCAACAGCTGCCTCCTGCTCTTTCTCCACTTCAGCCTTCCATTTGGCCTTCTTTTCTATGTTCATCCTCAGCAGCGTCTGGTCCCTTTTAGCAGCCTTGAAACAAAATGGTGAAAATCATTGCATGCACACGTTGCCCACCACTAAATTTCCCCACATTCGCACCACTTGCTTTGACACCCCACTGTCCTTTTTAATATTTTGCAGTGACAGAAGTTAATGTGTTTCCTTGTTTTACCAAATTTTCAGCATTTGCGGCTCTGATGAGGAGTACAAATTGTTTAGAGGTGTGCAAATTGTTTAGAGATGTACTGGGACATTCAAGTCAGGCTGGAGACCCTCCTTCCCTACCAGTGGAATGGGAAGACGCAAGTGTCACAGCTCTTGGTGGCCATGGTGGCACACAGGCTGGGCAGGCAGGATGGCAGGACCCTCATGGCGCATGGATGCAGGGCAGGACCAGGCACCATTGATGTTGTCTGAGCTCCTCCATGACCTTTGGAGCGGCCTCTTGCTGAGATACCATGATGCAGAGCATTGTACTGCACAGGTTTATGGCAAAGTGGGTCAGAAGGAACACATCACCCAGCAAGTTGCGCTGCCCCATGCCAACCTCTCCTCTGGAGAATGGGATGATACAGACCCTGTGCAAATATTGCTTATATGGACTTATTCTCAAATACATCTGTCACCCGAGTGCTTATTTACAAAGAGAGTGTATCTAGACCATATGTTAAGTGAATCAGTTCACTTCACCCAGAAACAATACTCACTTCTTTGCCTGTGATTACCATGGCCAAACAGCCCAGCAAGGTCAGTGCGATCATGATGTAGCAAACCTTTATCCTGACGCTGTTCCTTGCTGCATCGAGGACCTCAGACCTGCAGAGGACAGAGCAGAGTTTCCCTCCTGCGTGTGAAATGGGATCATGGGGAGCTGGGTAATGAATCCTCAAGTCTTTCAGCAACTGCCCAGTAACACAAAATGCATTTCAGCCTTCTCTTTCTGCAAGTGCTTAGAGGAGGACTCCAAAAATTAGCCTGAGGGGGAAAGATTTAGCCACCCTCTCACACAGAAGGGGTATTGCTCCTCCCAACAGTTGTCAGGAACAACAGGAATAACAAATCCTGTTCTCCTGCCTTCTTTTGTTGCATGTGAGAGACACTGAGGCCATGCCACCAGGGTCAGGCCGTGCCACCAGGGCCAGGCAATACCACCCTCGGTGGAATAAAAGCATACGTGTGTCATTTTGGCTAAGAGCAAGGGAGAGTTTTCAGAGAGCGAAGAGGCACAGCGAGTGGTGATTGGGTCTGTGGCCATCTGTCTGTGCCAGCTGCAGGCGGTGCTTTGCAGCCCTGTCCCACAACAGCGTTATCCCTCTGCCAGGCACCAGCCCCACCAGCATCCTCCTGTGGTGGGCGGCTGAGCTGCACTGGAGCAGATGATTGCACCATCCATGTGGGTTTGTCTCCCCAAGCGGCTGAATAGCCACAGCCGTTGCTGGGAGATCTCCACCACCTTCCATGAGTGACTCACGGCATTTATCCGACAATTTGCGCTTGCAAGAGACTGCAGCGTAGCAATGAGTCATCCGTGAAATCGTATCCAGCCATGGATTTGCTTACACCTACAAGGGGAAGGGCAACTGGAGGAGCCCCCAGGATGTCACAAGTCAGGCAACATTAGGTCTTCAAAACCAAGTGACAATCCTTTGTCAAAATACCTCGACAAGGGGGTGAAACAACAGCCTGGAGGTGAGGAACTCGTTGGAGATATCTGCCACCAAAGCTGCATATAGCCCCAAATTCCTTTTAAAATGTATGCAGGTCGAGGGATGTCAGTCTTCCCCTCTGCTCTGCCCTGGAGCACTGTGTCCAGTTCGGGGCTCCCCGGGTCAAGAAGGACAGGGAACTGCTGGAGAGGGTCCAGCAAAGGGCTATAGAGATGGTGAGGGGACTGGAGCGTCTTTCTGATGAGGAAAGGCTGAGGCACTTGGGGCTGTTCAGTCTGGAGAAGAGAAGACTGAGGGGGATCTCATCAATGCTGATCAATCCTTCAAGGGAGGGTGCCGGGGGGATGGGGACAGTCTGTTTCCAGTGGTGCCCAGTGACAGGACAAGAGGGAACGGGCACAAACTGGAGCATCGGGAGTTCCATCTGAACCTGAGGAGGGCCTTCTCTGCTGTGAGGGCGGCAGAGCAGTGGCACAGGCTGCCCAGAGAGGTGGGGGAGTCTCCCCCTCTGGAGCCATCCCAAACCCGCCTGGACGCCGTCCTGTGCCACTGCTGGAGGTGCCCCTGCTCTGGTGGGGGTGGCACTGGGGGAGCTCCAGAGGGCCCTTCCCACCCCCACCAGGCTGGGATGCTGTGATTCTCTTATTAATTGCTAATCAGTAAAACCTAACAAAGCATGCAACAACCCAAAGGGGATGATATTTTGCCATGGTGACTTCCAAGATACAAAGCCACTTATCCTGCAAAAGACTCTTCAGCTTAGTCTGAAACTTATGATATCTAAACCAAGTGAATCCAGTTTGCTTCACAGGCCATGACAAAAAATACATGCTCCCAAAAATTTGGGTTATTTTTAGACACCGGTAAAAGCAGGCCCTGTCAGCATGGAGGAATGCTAATCCTCACCATGAGAGCACACTTCTGAGTAATGCAAACTGGGGCCTTAATCTGTACGTTTACATCCAAAAACATCATTCAGGCAAAAAGAATTTAATATCAGAAGAAAATTGGTCTACTTACGATATGTGCTTGGGAATGTCCTCCTCCTTTTTAAAGCGTCCTGCCCATACTAACACCTTTTTATCGAAATTTGTGGGCCTTCTGTCATTTTTGAATGCTTTGTAACCTGTAAGAGATTTTATAAAAGAAAACAATGAGCTAAGCTTAGAGAGGAAAAAAGCTGTCGTTACAGGGGAAAAGGACCGAGAGTTTTCTACTCTGTGAGAGCCAAATGCGCTTTCTCACGTCAAAAGGACTCAGCAACTGGTGTGAGGTGCTTTGTTATATTTGCAACTTATTTCATTCTGCTTAATTTTTTTTTTCCCTTTAGTTTAGGTGGGGTTTAAACTAAAAATCTCTTTTAGCCTGCCTGATTGAGGGGAAAAGATGTGGGGCTGAAGCCCCCCAAGCCCTCAGCATGCTCTCACCCTGCTGGCACCTCGTTTTTAAACAGCCAGACTCGGGGGTTAAAGCAAACTGCCAGCAGCACTAACAACGCCTTGACAGCATCTCCTTCTAAAAGTGCTCACGGAGAGATGAGTTCTGTTAAAATACAGACAGTGGGAGGCTGGTAGTCATTCTCAGGCAAGCTGGGTACCAGGTTACCGTACTCTAACGATGATGCGATACACCCCACCACACTACCACGGTGATGCCATTTAGCATGGCATTGCCCTGAGCATCACAAGAAAGGGACTCTGGCTCCTCTTGATGGGAACAAGCCCAATGACAGGTCACAAGGAGGGCAGAGGCAGGGAGACCCTGCAAAAATAGGGTAAGTGATGGACTAGCTCAAAACCTGGCTTTGGAATTGCACTCCTGTACAGGTGGTCATTGCCGAGTATCTGGGACTGCTCGCACACCCGGGGATGCACACCCAGGATGCCAGGTTATGGTACCCTGTGCTTGCAAATGTGGGACTGGCGTTTAGAAGTTCCCTGTGGGTGACCAGGGCATGCAGGCAAGGATGGAGACAAAGATGCCACCAATCTGAGCATCCTGCGCTCCCTGGCTGTTGCTGGTGCCTGGCTGTAGGGAGATCACAGGGCACAAGGAGCATCTTCTTGATGTCCATGAGGAGGGCCTTCTCTGCGGTGAGGGCGGCGGAGCAGTGGCACAGGCTGCCCAGAGAGGTGGGGGAGTCTCCCCCTCTGGAGCCATCCCAAACCTGCCTGGACGCCGTCCTGTGCCACTGCTGGAGGTGCCCCTGCTCTGGCGGGGGGTGGCACTGGGGGAGCTCCAGAGGTCCTTCCAACCCTCACCAGTCTGGGATTCTGGGATGCTTCTGCCTGTGTTGAGATGGCAAAATTACATTAAGTGTCTTGGCCCTGGGTCTGCTTTTGCATGCCAGGACCTGTGAATGGCTGAAAGATCCCAGGTGTAAATCTTGGCACCCAGACCACCAGGTAAATTTAATCTCTTGCTTCTCCTATTTCTCTTACAGAGTCTCCACGCCAGGGAACTTGCCCACACAGGAGCAGCCCATGCCAGGGCACGGCCCACCGCAAGCACGCAGCTTTGTGGATGTAATCCAGCGGGGAGCGTTGCGGGAGCAGAGGGGTGCAGGTCTGCCACTTGCAGCAGCCCTGCACATGAGGGGACGTGCACCAGTCCTTCTCTGGAAACCTGGCAGCTGGGTAGGAGGAGGAACATTTATTTTATTTTTTTTTTAATTAACAGGTTTCCTGACATGAGGTATCAGTTTGTATTTGCTGCCGTAGGAGGAAGACTATTTAACACACCAAAAAAAAAACTTCATCCCTGTGCACTGATCAGAGCTCTCGATTTGCCCCGTGTCTCGGGAGGGTTTGTAACCCCAGGAGACGCAGCACCGCAGTTAAACAGCTACAGAAAACAGCGGACATTTTCTTGCCCTTTCCCGCAAACACCCTTTCCCTCCGTGCTGCAACACGAACCAGCGACCCACGCCTTTCTACCCACCTGCATCAGCCGTCCACAGAGCCGCGTCCTGAGCGCCCCTCGCTTTGTTGCCAAAGGCTCTGGCAGGGCGCAGGACCGGCCGAGCCACCCGCCGCCACAGCGCGGGGCTGTGCCCCAGCAGCATCCCCAGCATCCCGCCCCGGGCCACCGCCTGCCCACCCGCCTGGCACCGTGCAGCGGGACCTGCAGGAGCCAACAAGGCTTCTTCAGGGAGTTACAAACATAAAACTACCCCTTCCTGGAAGAAGGGAGTAGCACGCATTTCCACCCGGCCTGCCAACAGTTTTCGCTTGCGTCACGATGACTAGTCAAATTTATCGCCTGTGTTTACCAAAATGACACACCTCCTGAGCCCAGGCGGGCAGAGATCACCGCCACGGCAGCTCACACTCAGCCCGGGCTCTCACCCCAAGGAGCCGCTCGGGACAGCGATGGGTATTTGCATTATTTCCTCAGTCCTTACTCTAGTAGGGCTAAAATAGGACAGCGTGCTATATTTCCCCAAAGATCGGCTTAGTGACTGCTAATTATCACAGCCGGTTAAGCCATTGGAGTTCTTAATTGTTCTCAGCTAAAATATAATCTTGCAAATCAGTTGCGTTAAACAGACTTTTTGAAGAGGAGCAACGTCTCCACTGCCTCAGAATGAATGCGGTTTGGCAGAAGGAAACTACAGCCAACGTTTGTGGCTATAAATGCTGATGGGGAGGCCATCCCGCATCCAGGCTGCAAACTTCCCTGGCAAAGAAATACATTTCAGGTTTAAATCAGTAAACTAAGAACTTATATCAAAAAACCTCAGGTGACATAGTATTTGTCAGTCGGTAAAATCGCCATTGAGATGAGGCAGTACCTGCAAAGTATCTGCCCCCTTTGAATTCAATCTCCACAAAGTCTGGGCAGCGCTGAATGTTTTCCATAACATCAGCTGCTCTAACCAGAGAATGAACCGAAAACAATGCTATTTTATCACTTTGGCATTTCTCCTGTGTTTTGCACAAAATTCTCCCTGATGGGTCAGGAAATGGAAATGCAAAATACTTGTCTCATTTGGAGCAGTGGGGTATTTACTCTCCTTAGACATACAAGGCTCTAAAGCTGATTTACAACCCAGGAAAAAAATTCCACTGGAAAGGGAAGAAGCAGTTGCCGAAAGGAAAATTTTCAGAACTGTTTAGTAATGCTATCAAATGCAATATTGCAGGTAATCAAAGTGTGTCTAAGAGCAAGGGGAGGAACTGCAAGGCAATAGAGCTCGGGATGTTGGCAAGAATATTCTTTAAGGGCTGAGAGGATGAAAAATATGAGACAGAAGCAGCTCCAGCTCCTGGCCCCAAGGAAAATACCATTTATAGAGATGTTTTATGTTTTTTGAGAACACAAAGTTATTGATAGTGAGGAAAGAAGAAACTCACAGCAGTGGCAAACGCAGTTTTTCCTCTTTCGTGAAAGCTCCACAACGCATCTGGACAGAACACAATGTGTTTGGCTTAATTTGCTTATAATTTGGTAAAGCAAATTAGATCCATTTCCAGATTAGGAACCCATACAGAAAATGAATGGTGGTTTGAGCTTCCAGCTGCAAATGAGACCTGCAAACAAGCAGAAATGTGGGGATGTGATTGTGCTGGAAGAAGCAGAAGAGAAACCTGGTAAAGTCACTGATGGTGTTTGTGTCCTGCTCAGGATTTCCCCGGGGGAAGATGGGTGCGAGGAAGAGGAGAGGTGCGTTTATGGCATGAAGTTTATAGGTCTCAGAACCCCTGAGGATCCCATGGGCCCCTTCTCGCCTTGCAGAAGAGCTGCTGAGCGGGAGAAAAGCATTATACACCAGGACATCCCAGGGTCCCTGGGCAGGGTGGGCAGCTGTGGGATGGTCATGTCGCCCTTGGAGCCGCCCAACCCCACAGGGGCTCCAGCTGTGCGGAGCATTTTCACTTTAACAGGCATCCTCCAAAACGCTTATTGCAAGAGTGGTGGTCTTTATGTCACGTCTGATTATGGATTTCAAGAGAAAAAGAAAAGAACATTTGTATTTTATCTCTTAGTTTCTCAAGTGTGGAGAAAATTGTGGGGTTTTCAGGCCTCCAGTGCTTATCCACCTAGGGATTGCCAACTATTTCCTCTTGAAGACACACCAGCTAACAGCTGTATTAATCACATCTGCTGTGAGAAAAAAAAAAAAAAAAAAAAACAAAAAAAACAAATGAACCACTACTTCAGGATTTATTATGCCAGCATTTAGAAGTGCAAAGACACAGAGGTCCTCAGGAAACCACAAAGGCAGTTACTCGTTCCTGAATTTTACTCGTTTCTCTGGCACCGTGAATGCTTAATGCCGGGGTGAGTTTTACTGCAGTGCATGAAAGCTAATAAAAAGCTATATACACCACTGCATTAGGCAACCAAGCTCTCCCGTGTGTGCTGTGGATCTCTCTGGCCCAGAGCATCCTGAATCCCTTCCTGAACAGCAGAGAGATACAGAACGCTCTGGGACCACAGCAGCCTTGTGTGCAGCATGATGGCCTTAAACCTCCTTAGAAGGGTTTTGTGTCCAGCCCAGTACATGCACATACTCCCCTGCCCAGGTTACAAAACATCCCCGTGAGGCTCATCCATCCGCTCCCCTCACCCACCCACCACTTGATACCCATCAGTGACTCATTAGCTGAGCGTAACCATCATTTCATGACCATTAAGCTCACAGACGGGGAGTTTATGGTGTAGCAGTAACAACTTCTTCAGAGATGCAGAAATAGCAAAACCAGGCTGAAAGCACCACCGTATCCTCCTCTCACATCCTTCTGGCAGGAGGAGAGCAGGACCCCAACTCCTCAGCAAGCCCTGGACAGTGCAGATAACAGCTCACGCAGGGACTGGCTGTGCAGACATCCCCCCGGCTCCCGCTGGCCCTCGCTGCGAGGGGGGAGCACAGATCTGAAGAGGTTTGAGCTGCAAAGGAGCAGACGGGCTCAGAGAGAGCAGAGGACAGTTTGCAGCTGTGGCGGTGGTGCAGAATCGTGACATATCTGTTTTCAGTGCGAGAGCGATCCGTAGTTGTAATACTTAATACAGGCTATTGCCAGCACAGGAAGATGGAAAACTAAACACAAAACCTCACAGGGCTCCATCCCAGTTCTGCATCATCTTCACACCCCTTCTGCCACCACGGACTCTGCTCTTGCAGCTGACTCTGCAGCCAGTCATCCACCCCCCCAAAATGGACACAAAAACCTTTGCAGAACTGGAACCGAAAGGCCACAACATAAAAATACGTTGCTCTCTGTAAAAAACCCGTGTTCTTTGATTTCTGACTGACTTTACACCGCCATTCCCAGTACCTTAATTCTGATTATTGTCAGCCTATTACAGCACTGAGAAACTTGGACTCGGGTCCTCTTCACCCGTTCTTCTTTTTCTGCTTTCAACACCCACAGGAATGAAAGAGTTTATTCCTCTAGAAGTCCCAGGTTCATGTACCTCTCTTTACATCTCCTGGTTAATTTTCATAAGGTTGCACAACAAATTTCTTTAGTCATATACACAAAAGAATTCATAGCAGTATTCAACCGAAAAAAAGTATTACTCTGTAAAGCTTTTTTTTTTCATCTGCAGTGTCCTCAAAACCAACTGGTTTGCCACCAGGCCCTGCTTTGCATGCCATGCAAACTTTTTACATGAGGGCTGTGATGAGGAGCAGAAGATAACCTTATCTTAAAATTCTTTGCCTTGCCCCCCATCTAATTAAATATGCAGCAGAGCTTTGGCTTGGTTCCTAGACGAGATAAACAAGCAATCCTGGACGGACTCGTGGCTCATGAAATTCAAAGTGAGTCAGGAAATATTCCTCCACGAAACTGTGCATCCTCCAGCAGCACAATTTAACACAGCAAGAGCAATGAATTGCTTTGAAATGTCTCACCTACCTGCAGATCCCAGCCCAAGAGCCTGTCCCTCCTCTCCAGGGTCCCCAGGGAACAGCAATCCCAGAGTTTCATCTCTCTCCAGGAGGTGGGTCGCATACTCCTCATATCAGGAAATTGTCTACCCTAAGGAAACTCAACTGCAAATCCCAAGAAACTAAAAGCTCCTTAACTATTTCTCAGCATGGCCAAGTCAAACCAAGGGAACAGTCACAGCATCTTACAGCAAAACCAGACTCAGAGGGTTTGTAAAGACCTCTGAAAACAAGCAGCGGTGTGAGACTTTAATCACTTTGGGACTCCAGATTCATTTTTTTATAATCTTGAGTGTTATCAATGAAACACGACATCTGCCAAAAGAGAGCGGAGACAATGAAGGAGTCCCTCCCCTCTTTCTGTGTTAAACTTCAGCTTTGCTTTAAAAAACAATGAAATCAGGATTCCTCTATCCAGTTACTGGAAGGTCCTGCATTTTCTACCAATACTGTCCCTATTCCTCCAAATTTGATAGTATCACTGCCATTTGAAAAATCTTGCCTAGCAACAATAAGTAAGACACTAAGCCACACTGCTGAAAAAAGAAAAATCAATAGAAGAACTCCCAAAAAACAACCCACAAATTCCACTGACTCTGGTAAATCTTGCCTGATTTACACCACATGAGCCTTTTGGCATCAGTCTCTTAATAGGGAAAAGTAATTGATATAACACACTTGGTATTTTCTACAACAGGAGCAGTCATTTCCCCCAGGTAAAAAAAGGTCTGGGCTGTTCTCTATGTCTGCCACTAAAACAAGAACAAGCCGGATTTGTGTCAGGTCTGAGCAGAAGCTCCCAACATTGCAAAGATAAGGATCTCCAAGTGATCCTTATCTAGGAAGAGTCATCCTCTCTGCCATTAAGCACATTTACTCTTAAGGGAGTTAAACCCCAATTAACAGCCTGGATGTTTTGCTGCTTAAGGCGTGTTCACCTCTGGAAGAGCGCAAGAACCCACTCCTACCTCTCCTGATGGTAATGGAAACGCCTACAAACAAGGGACGCTACTGTAGCCAAGAGGACCCATAAGCCACACTTGCTTTGTGCTCTTCCATCGGCTCCAGGTTTTTAGCTAAGACGCAATAGAATATTTATTGGACACAGGAATGCAGTTATGAATTGTCTTAATAGGAGCTAAATTCAGCGGAGCTCGTGAGCTGGACCTAAAGTCCCTACCCTCTGCACACAAACACTAAAAAGGGACTTGGGATGGGTCCGATGTGCCCTGGGTGCAAAGTGCAGAGTTTATAACGGCTGGTGGCAGAAGGACAAAGCTCACAGCAGCAAAACAAAAGTTAGTCATTGCTCTAGCAAAGCCCCAGTATGACCTTTCCCAGGGTTTGGGACGGTCACCCAGAGTCAATGAAGTGGCGTGTCACCTCCAGTGCAGGGTGACTCGGGCATACGGAGCAGCCGCCCACCGATGGGCTGAAACGTGGGGTGGCTGCCCACCTCCAGCTTCGTCGCAGAGGAGCAGCCAGATGCACAATCCCAGGAGCCACGGGAAATCCTCCGAGGTGGTCAAGGTGTTGTGATGAAATTGCACCTTTTACAACCAAGGAAATGAATGCATCGACGAGCTTTGCACCAGGCCTCTAATTTCTGGAATAATACGCAATTGGACCGTAGAGCAAAAAAGTGCAAAGCCCCGAAAGGAAAACAAAACCATGAGAATCCTTTCAATTTACATTTTGACTCAGAGTTTGGAGAACCATTTAATTTAAACCTTTTCCACACCTGTTTCCCCAGCTGAGCCCGAGAAACACACTGACAAGGACAGACTCGCTGTTCACTTGTCACTTAATGATTTTCTTTCCTGAGAAAAATGGCATCATCTTCAAAAACAGAGGCATTTAGAAATTTTTCACTCCATTAGTCAATAGTTTAGGGGAAAAAGAAACCTAATTTAAAAAGATTGAACAATTCTTTGTGGAAATGTCTTTTCCCCACACTTGTTT